ATCCCTTCCTCTCTCTCCCTCCTCACCATTCACTTCTCGACAGACCTCTCTGCATGTTGGGGTCCTACGGTACCATGTGTTAAGCACGCATTGATATAGCACAGCACAGACCTCTCTGCATGTTGGGGTAGCACGGGACCACGGTCTGCGTGAAGGTGTCGATGACCTCTGTGGCCAGCTCTCTGCACTCGTCGTCTCGTACGGCGAATGTGAAGTCTACGAGCCTAGGCGTGCTCTGCAGACTCCAGATAGTGTCGTAGGTGTCGTAGACTGGATGGTGAAAGTCCTGCAGCAAGTCGGAATTAACCCGTGATGAAACATCCCAACTACGCGAACATCTGGCTAGAGCAGCAACACTCCTATATAGTCGCTGTCATCTTTCTGTAATTATTTCCCCCGAGAGATTCTAGCGATATGGTAGAAATAAAGTAAAGACAAGTATATGAAGTAAAGCAGCTACATTTCGTGTATGATAGCCAATCTTTACAATCGGGAATGATTAAACTCCCGTATTTCGTTAAATAGTATTTGCTACGATTAAATTCTTTGAATTGAAAAGTACTCCAATTATTTATAATACGTATAGTCGGGAATACTGGTGACATAACGGGTTGATAGAGGCGCATTCTTACCTGCATAATTATGTCTATTTGCGCTAGATATTTTCCTGTCTGGTAGAATAGTTCCTCCGTATAAGGGACATTGTAGAAAATCTGACCAGGAAGGAATGTCAACATTCGTACAAGATGATTGCCGTGCGGTCGCTCTGTCGCTACTGTAATGCAAGAAGCCATCACTTTAACGCACCTACGTTAGCTGTCTTTCGGTCGTATTCTATGAGTCTATGAGACTCTATTAGTCGGAGTAATATATCTGCACTCCAGTAACGAGCAACAGTGCACGACTATATATCACCTGGGAAAGTAATCAAAGGTTCAACTTGCCAATATTGCCGGTTATTTTTGGCTGACTTTAAAAGCATTATATGTTCTATAAAAGACCTTTACATGCTATATAATATATATATAATATAATATATATATACTATATATATATATTATCGGAAAACGGTGGGCTTAGTCTCAATGGCACACGTAAACGATTTTCATGTAAAAATATATGATGTGACAGCTAAGCTCTCACGATCCGCGGATTTTTGTTGTAATACAATATAATCAGGAGTGAATAATAATAGATTATTTATAATTATAATCTATTATTATTCACTCCTGATATATACCTAATGTAAATACCGCGTGCGGTGTAGACCAGAAACACAAGACACTTGTTTGCAATAACTTTGTTCGATATCCAACATGTTTGGTACTTGATGTTTTGTCTCTATATCAAAAACGGTCAGTGTCGCACAGTTTCACTGCACGCATTAGCCCCACGGGTACACCATAACACGGTGTTTTATAAAACATTTTTCTATCTTTCTATTATTCATTAGCGATAGAAAAAATATAACACTCGCTATAATGTAATGATTTTGATTGGTCATCCATTTAAAAACGGATTACATACACAAGAGTATAGCATACGGTAGGTAAAAATAAGTAAGCATCAACACTTATTATCAAATATAGTATATGGACAATCGCCTTTTAATCTGGAATGAACAAACTGGATGACTTATAATAATAAAATTAATCATAATAAAAAATCTCTTTTTTTCACTCTCTATCTCTCTCTCTCTCACTGTCACTGTCACTCTATCGCCCATCCCTTCCTCTCTCTCTCTCTCTCTCTCTCTCTCTCTCTCTCTCTCTCTCTCTCTCTCTCTCTCTCT